GCTGTGCTCTTGCCTCGTCTCGGTTCCTCCCTCCTCCCGCTCTCCCCCCAAGAAGGGAAACTTAGGCCCTGCAAGAATCCTGTGGAATGTTCTTTGTAATCTGTTGTATATTTGCTTCCACGGCACCGCTCGGTGCAAAATCGCAGGTTTCGGGGCGCTGGAGTGAATTGTGCGCTTGTCAGCGGCGACGTCAGGAGGACGAGGGGAGGGGTTCCCAGCTGAAACTGCAATTTACCAGCACAGAGCCATCTTAGGCTGGTTTCCACTTCGGCAAAGCCCACAGGAAAGCTGTCCCCCGGAGGATCTGCGCGACAGCAGCATCGGGGACGCGCCGCGCGCTCGGCCAGGGAGCTGGGGGAGCCAAATGTGTCTGAGCCTGAGGGTCGCGGGTCCTTCAGCCTCCCCACCCAGGTGGGAAGGGAAATCTGCTGCAGGGTCTCCAGTCCCGGTGACGCTTCCCTTCAACCCCTCCCCCTCCATGGGAGCCGCGAGGGACAGGCCCGTCCCACTGCGCGGCGTCCACCTAAGTGGGAGGACGAGCTGACCCCATCGATCCTCCCTCTAGGCCCCTGCAAATGCCTAGAGGCCGCGTTACTGCGGTAACTACAGACTTGGCCAGCGCTATCTTATAAGCCCTACGATTTGAAAACGTCTTGGTGCACTAGGCGGACGCGCCATCAAGTTCGCGGGTCCAGAGAAGGTCCCCTGGACCTGTCCAAACCTGGCCCCGGAGAAGGCTCGCAGACGCCGTGTGGCCCTTGTCCCCCTGATCCACCCCACTGGCACCGCTGCGCAACCTCCGCTGGGCAGCCGCATCCTGGCCACTGGCGACCCCTGTCGGGGACCCCTGTCCCCAGCTAAAGGACCTCGGTGTGCTAGCTTTCCCTTGAGCTCCACTTACAAGCTCCGACTTTGCCTTCAAACTCCACTCCCAGACTCTTCCCGGCCCCCAAGGCCAGCCTTTTCCCGGGCACCTCGCTGCTGTCTCAAACCCCAGGGTGACACCCTCGCTCGCTTGCCGGAGACTGCCCCTCTCGGATCCAGCCGCGATCTGAGCAAGAGACACTTTCTTCCGCGAACGCTCTCCCCATCCCCCACTTTCCCTAGAGCGCAACTCTAAAAGCAACTCCTCCCCTCCACGCTACACGCTTTGCAGGGGAGGTCCGCACGCCCCCGCCCTTCCGCCACTCCACTTTCACCCACCCCACCCCACCCCCACCTCGCCTGGGACGCCGGCCCCCCACCTTCCCCCACCCCCACAGCGGCGCGAACTGTACCAGGTGCCCACTGCTAAGAGCAGCGCGCCCCCTGCAAACCCCAAACCCCACGGGCGTCTTGCAGCCCGACTGCATCCGAAACCCTGGTCGGTTAGTCCTTTCAATAAGCACCTCCTCGCTCCACCTACAGGGCTTTACCCACACTGGATCCAGCACACAGAGAGAACTTGTTTCGTAGAAATCCGAAATAAATCATTCCCTCTGCCCCCCTGTATTTTGCACCACGTGTCAGCAGTTTGTCATGTCAAATCATGGGAGGGTCTGGGTCCAAACGCACACACGTATTTGGGGTGGATCTCTTTGACTTGACACCCCCCTACAACTGCACACCCAGGTATGCACACTGATCCAAAGGCACACTGAACAGTTGTGCTCGGATGCCCTGGTCCGGGCCAACAGCACCCTTCTCCCCTCTAGCAATGGGCTGGACAAGAGAACTCAAGCCACGGAAAAAACTAGGACAGCTCATTCGCTCTATTTTTTCCTACTTAATTCGCTAAAGCAGCTCCTGGAGTAACCAAAGAGAGTTGAAACTAAAGGATGGCAACTCCTGTTGTGTTTTTTCCCACCTCAAAACCTTTATTTTCAGTTTTTAAAAGCCACCTTAGCCCGCCATATTGAAACTGGCACGGCTTCCAAATACTCCTTCTCCGCAGTTGCTTCCAAAAAAACATGAGTAAGGATCGAGGCTCTGGATGTGCATCTGGCCACCGCAAAGCAACTACCTCCCACCCTAAGGCTCCCCCTTCCCCGGCTAATCTCCTCCCGCCGCCCCGGTTCAAAAATCAATATACCTAGCAGTTCCTACAGTTGGGGGTTTTTGGGGCGGATTTTACCAACACATACACACAAATTAAAAAATATACTCCAAAGCCACATCAGATTAGTAATTTTGAAAGGAGGTCATAAGAGTAGACAATAGGAAAGCCCCAAGTGACAGGATATTACTTTAAAGCAAAAGCGAAAAAAAAAAAGGAAGAAAAAAAGAACAAAAAGACCATCCATGCCGGAGCACGCTCCGAAACTACTAGTGGCAATTTCATTTCAGCTACACAGGCAAATGTTTCCAAGGGGGCGATTCCGAATGCGTATCCGATTTTTAATCCCCTTAATGGTTTCCAGTCCTCACCCCACCATTTTCTCCACCCCAACCCCCGCCACCCCGAACACACACACCCAAAAAAAAAAAAAAAGGAAGAAAGAGACCCCAGCGAGGAGACGCGGGAGCGCGGGGTAACAAGGGCGGCTGCGTCGCTAAAACGAGCGCACAAATGAGGAAGGGGGCGGCGGGAGGCGACAGCCTGCACCCGGGGAGGATACTTTGCAACTACCCAGGGACTCTCGCACGGCCGGGCTTTTCAAAGCCGAGGGACGAAGGAGAAGGGGACGAGGGAGCAAAAATGACAACCCGGAGCGCAGAGCGGAGTTTGGGGCTCTGCTCCAGTGCTGTCGCTTTCTCCGCCTGCCTCTCTCTTTTGCTCCTCTCCCTAGGCACCCTCTCTTCCAGTCTCCCACACCCCTCGGCTGGCTCAAGCTCTTTTTTTTGTTTTTGTTTTTGTTTTTTCCTTCTAAGCTGGAAAAAAGCTGACCGGCGCACTCAACCTGCGG